TTGAGGGAAGGGAACTTGTTCTCATTCCATGCCTACAAGCAAAAGAACTTTTTGTTGTTCGGTACCATTTCCCGCAGGCAGAGCCTCCTGATGTGGAAGCAGTGGAAAGAGCTAGATCAACAACTCTCTGGCCAGAGGCGTGGTAGAATTCTGCTTGTCGAATTAGTCCCTGCTTTTCAGATATATGAATCATTTTTTTCCCCTCTGAGAGTGAATGGGAATCAAAAGAGAGCTTTGGCTTCCTGAGAAATCCACAAATATTTCTTAGAATTTGTGAGCACGGATGGCTCCAGCAAAACAGCCCCTTGGAAACTGGACCATCTCTGGAACAGGCAATTCGCATTTTGTCCTCTCACCTTGGATCTGCCTTCCAGAGACGTCAAACTTCACTCTGCAAAAGCCAAGAGACCCCGCAAGGAGAGCTGCATGAAGAAGCTGCCTACTGCTGTGCTCGGCCTGTTTTTCCAGCGTGAGCGCGCAAGTGGGGCTAAATGAAGAGACTCGTTCCTAGTGGACCCAGAGGGCACATTTTGTCTGTTTTCTAATGCCAAAACACACCAATGGATTAGGTGCTAGAATGGAAAATGAGCTCTCTCCATTTCCTGATTACTTTCACAGGCACTCTTATTATCTTTAACTTTCCTTTTATAAAACACACACACACACACACACACACACACACAGCCTAGAAAAAAATTATTGTTTTTTTTTTTCATTTATACTTTGTAATAATCTTTCTTTTTTGGTTTTCACAAGAAGACTTGATGGCATAAATTATGTGGACCTCATTGCTGTGGGATCCAGGGAAGGAGGAAACATGGTGGGCAGAAGGAGCCTGGCAAGGATAAAATTGGCTGACAAGTTGGTGACTACCAGAAAAGCTATATAACCCAGCAGAATCAAGATATCATGGGTTGTCATCGGGGAGTAAATCAGGCAGCAATTCTCTCTTAAATGGACCCAGGCTAGGAATCATGCCCTCTGCTCATGAATGTGGAATGGCAGCACACAGAGTTTTAGTCTCAAAAACACCAGCTCCTATTTGCCAATACAAACACTTTCATGACTCAAGGAGACAGTAGGCACATTTCTCCTCTGATGGCCTCTTCAGACACAAGGGCTCGGGTTAGCAGGGGAAACTTAAGATAACAGAACATTTGTGTAGTTGATAGTAAGTAACATTCCATCTCTTGCTGGCAGCCAGCCATAGGTTATAGGGATACATAAGCTATTGCCTCTCTTCATTTCTATGCATTTGAAAATGTCGTTTTGGAGGTGGCTCCCTTCTCACAGGTAGCAACCCAAAGCTACAACTGCAATGAAGATGTTTATGTTTGGGCCCTACCTCCCAGCTCTCAACCAACCACTGAGCTCTGAAACTGATAGGTATTTATATTTTGTTATTAAAATATTCATTGTCTACATTATGGTGGGAAGGACAAGGTGACTGATCGTAACAAGACACATCATCTTTCTCATAAAGGTCAGAAGTCTGTAGTGATATTTATAACCACATTGTCAGCTGACTTTCAGAGCATCTTCCAAAGATACAGTTTCTAAGGAGCTTCTGTTCACAACGCTTTTTCCTATGATGCGACTGTCAGAGTCACCCATAGCTCTCATCCTCAGTCACTGAGAAGGTAATTAAACAATGCTGAAATGAAAGAAGACTGAACAGTATGCCAATGATTAGAAGGATATAGAATTTTTTTGTTCTAGATCATATTTTGTATCCTTTACATATTTAAATACACATCTTTGTTTAACAATTTTAATTATTAGTAACATCTATCTACAGTAGAAAATGAGTTTGTCATTTTCTAATTTTGTTCAAAAGTATATCTGAGGTACACTTTTTGTTTGTTTGTTTTTGAGACAGTAATTGTATAACACAGGGCGGCCGCAAACTGAATATTCTCCTGTCTCATCCTCTATGGAGCTACAATTACAGGAATGTATTACCAGCACCGTATTTTCTAAGTAGTTGGTACTGTACTAAGATCTTAAATAATGGGTAGGTTTTTGGAAAAATAAGATTTGTTGCTTATCCCCTTTGGAATTTAAAAGTTGCTTAAGAGGTTTATGAAATATACTAGCAAGCTAAATGTAACCATGAACTGAAAAAATAAAACTCTTTCAAAACAGATGGAACTAATTTCTTTAAAGTCTATAACAGAATAAACTAGTAGCTAGTGAGCAGAAATAGACTACAAGTGACTGAGTTTGGTGACAGTGAAGGCTGAAATACTCATCAACCTGCAGCTTCTTTTCCCTGAGGAAATATTAACAGAACAAGCATGGGCAGGGCCACTTTATTGAGTATCACATAAGTATTTGTATTTTGGATGTAACTCAAAGGTAGACAAGATTTGGTTCTGGACCACAAGAAGTTTATGAGCAGGTAGATAAAATGTCACAAATGTCTTCATCTGGCAGGAAGAGACTCTAGAGGAAGGCAAAACTGATCACAGAGGACCCCGGGGGGGGGGGGGGGCTGCTTTCTGGCTGAAGAGAAGAAAAGTTTGAAGGGAAGTTTTATAGAAAATCTGTATATGAAACAAGCCTTAAACAGTGGATGGGTCTCTAACCAGAAAGCCTTTTCAGAGCAGTGGAAGAAACAGGGGAGCTGGGCACACCCATAATTCCCAACCCTTGGGAGGCTGAGGTGGGAGGATCATAAGTTCATGATCTTACATGATATTGTGAGACTCCATCACACAAACAAATCAAAGCACCAAAGCTAATATTTTAAAACTTGAATTTGACATTTTGTTCCCAAGTAGCAGGTCAACTTCAACTGCCAGATAGCTTGAGCCTGGACAAGGTCACCTAACCCCCAGCCTTCTTCATTTACATCATCTGACCGAGTTTACAAAATCTGAGCTCACCAAGGTTATTAAAGACGTTCCTGACTTACACACACAAGAATCCTATGTAGTACTTTTAAGAGAACTTGAGTCAATGGAGACCTTAGTCAGGAGTTGGTAAGATTACAATGGTACTTTGGGCCATCGTCTCTATTGGCAATGACCATGCAAGACTTAAGAAAAAAGAAGTTGAAAACAAGAAAGCAAGACCCCATCAGAGAAGCACACAAACAGAGAATGAGATGATGAGGAAGGCTTCAGCCACGATCTGGAGACAAGCAGACGCTCTGGACTCAGAAACCACTCAGAAAAGCTTGACAGGGCACTGGACAATTTGGTAACAGAAGAAGTGGAAGCTATAATTCAGCTATGCGGTAATGTCACTAAGAAGAGAAAAATAAAGAATCAAAATTGAGAAGAAAAAAGATGCACCCAGTTTTGGGGCTGAGTCTCCATGCTGTGTGGGACAATGACATAGTCTCAAGAACTTGATTTTCCAACAATTTGCCTTCCACCTAACCCTGTCAGAGGAAGGAAACATCTGAAATGTTTGAGTACATGCAGTCTTGTTATACTCAGGCTGGGGTGCCACCAGAAGGGCTACCGAAATCCTACCATACACAAAACAGGCTTCAAACCCAAGGAAGGCTGGTCCTGGATGATAACTCTGCAGAGGCTGATAAATTCTCATTTAGAGTGATTTGAAACTCAAACTCCGTATTTTTTTTTTTTTTGGTAGAGATAAATAAAGATGAAAACTTCACAGTTATTCATACTTCTATGAGAGATGATGGAGAAATTAACCACAACAGAAATACATGGAAAAGAAAGAAAAGTAAATGAGAAAACACCAGGAGGCATCCCTTCATGTGCTCCATGAGGATTTTTTGTCGGGGGTGAGAGAAAGTGAGAGCCCTTTCATGTTCAAAATTCAGTATTTTATGGCCATTCTCAGGAAGCACATAGGAGATAAGCATAAGAAAGGTGTGCACCAAGCAGAGGTCAATTATGAACATATAAAAGCCTGGGGCACATGCCAGTCTTGATAAACACACTGAGGGCACATGCCAGTCTTGATAAACACATTCACATACACACAAGAAAAAGAAAAAAAAGCAAAAGAAGGAAGAGAGAAAGGAGAAGTCGAGAAGGTTAATGTGGGCAGCGGGTCTACCATTACAAAGACATCCTCTACACTCTGATATGACTCCAGTACAGATGGACTTCTAAGGAAAAAGACCAGCGCCTTCACTTCATATGTGGGGAGAACACTCTTTGGACAGCAAAATCTGCCTCTAGTAACTATCACCAAAGTTTCCTAAAAATCAAATTAATGTGTAATAAAGCAGAACTCAACTACTTGCACAGTTCTCTCTCACTTAAATTTTGCTCTAACTCTGCTCCAGGAGTCTTGACAGCTGCTCATCTTGACAGTCTTGAAAGGTTCATCTCCTTTTCTGGTAAGATGGCACCAGTGGGTTCCTGCCTCCTTGGAGTACTCTAATGATTACATGATGTAACTGGAAAATCTCTTAGCATAGCAGCTGGTGCCAAGCAGGGGCTCTGTTGGGGGAAGCAGCTTCAAAAAATATCTAAATCCTATAACTCTCAGAAATGATTGAGAAAAGGAAGTATTGGGGACCACAAATCCAAGGTGACCCAGTGTTAAACAAGGTAGCGGAAGACTGAAATTCATCCCTAGAATTACAAGTAACCTTCAGAACCCTCAAGCCAGATTTCCTCACTGCAATGATGAAAAAATTAGAGGAAGAAGTTGAAATGTCATTGTGGCTTGGATGTAAAGGTGCCAGAAATTAATAATAATTATTATTATTACTACTAGTAGTAATTTTTTATGTTTAACAGAAGGTAAAGGTAGAGTTGGAAACTTGCAGTTTGTAGTTCTGTATTTGTGTTAAAGACATTGGAGTTAGGGCAAGGAGGTAACAGAGAGACGACCAGTCTCAGCTTTCCATGAATGTGTCCACTGTACGTCTCCTAGAGTCACACATCCATAAAGTAAACCCAACTATACGACTCTTTGAGGTTCCAAGGATCACGGAATAAATGCACTTTGTATACTAAGTAGTGGTTACAAAGGGTGCTCCTCCGGGTCACAGTCGGGACACTCACCTGTCCAGGAGCAAGTTCGGAGCGAACAGCAGCTTCCCCGGGTGCTCCATGGAGCGCCAGACGAGACCAATCATCAGGATCTCCAGCCAGGCACACTCTAAAAGGTGGACCTGATCATGGAGATTTAAGTCCCCAAACCCTGAAATACAAGCAAAGGCCACTTAGTTCCAAGACAATGTACTCATGGCCAGTGACAAGAACATGACTTGAACACACATTTGAACTAGTGGCTGTTTTGTTAATAAACAGAATAAAGAAAAATCACTGATGTGTGTCCTTTCATTCTAATGGCTGAATTTTTAAAACTGTAAACGAACACAGGGTAGATGCCTAAACATCATAAGGAGGAGGAAGATGAGACAAATAGAATTACACTTTACAGGAAAAGCAAGTATTTTTTTAAAATCCAGCTCTGTCAATGAATTTTCGCTTGACTTAAGAGGGTTTTTTTTTAATGCCTTAATGTCATCTCTGCAAAAATCCACTAACTCATACACCCCACTTAACTGTCTATAAAATTTGTGCTTAGTAAATAAATTCTACATAAGCCCATCTAACAATTTCACATAGCTATTGTTATTCATCTTCACTTAGTTGAAAACACTTAAGTGCTGTAAACTTAAACTATTTAACTAAGAAATTGGGACACAGGTAGAACCAAAGTCATTAGTTATTTCTTCATTTTATTACCATGACCTTTTTTTTTTCATAAAATGAAAAACGAAGACCAATGAAATAACATATGCAAATAAATCAAGTGGAGGATGACTCAGATGACTAAAAGTAATGTTACAGTTGCTGCTTGGAGAGACCGCTGATGTGTGCCCTTGTTTTTCAGTGGTTGATTAGGAGATTAAAGCATCTTTCTAACTGCTAATGACAGTAGATGCCTAAACATCATGAAGAGGAGGAGGAGGAGGAAGAGGAGGAGGAGGAGGAAAAATGAGATGAATTTGAAAGAACAAGGAAGCAGGACATGAAGGCGAGGAGGAAATTATTAAATCTCTCACTGGGTTAGAGGCAAAGTTGGGTGCATCCTGTAGCCAGCTCTTTTCATCTTTACTCAACACTCGTAACAGCCAGTTGCTGATGCTCGGAGAGCTTGTGTGTCCTTTAAGGACAGACGTTGGAATAGAAACTTCAGGGCTGGTGGTTTTGACCATGATTAGAAGTTCAAAGCAGGTGACTAAGTAAGTTCCACCACAGAGACGCCAGAGTGACAGAGTGATCGAGTCAGCAGTGTCAGGGGAGTTTGCCACTTTCCAAATCTGTGCCCTGCTCTTCCCAAGGAGGGGTCCCTTCCCTCTCTATTTCCTTTCCCCTCCTCATCTTTAACTGCTTGTTCTCACGGATGCAAGAGAATGGCCATGGAAGTCCTTCGGTTCTGATTCTGTCTCCTCTGTTTCCCACTGATGTTCTTATCCTCTATTAGAATCTGTTCTCACTAACTGAGCTGACTTGCTTTTGTCAGCTTGACACAAACCTAGACATATCTTGGAAGAGGGGATCTTAATTGAGAAAATACCCCAAGCCAGATTAGTCTCTGGGCCATTTTCTTGATTGATAATTGCTGTGATAGGACCTAGGCCACTAGGAGTGGTGGCATCTCTGGGCTGGTGGTCATGAGTGCTCTAAGAAAATAGACTGAACAAGCCATGAAGAGCAAGCAGCAAGCAGCACTCCTGCATGGCCTCTGACTCAGTTCCTGCTGCCAGATTCCTGTCTTGCTTGAACTCGTGCCCTGACTTCCTTCAGAGATGGAATGTTACTGGGAAGTACAAGATTAAATTTTTCTTCCCATGTTGCTTTTGGCCATGGTGTTCACAGCAACAGAAATTCTGACTAAGACATTCACTAAGAAGTGACCTGTAAGTCTTACCTGATAGATACTTTTCTGGAGCATCTTGGGAGCTGTGTAAACCTTAAAACAATTAGCTTGTGACTTCATATACAGTCCAGGAAATGCCGTGCTTCACTTAATCCTGACTCACTAGGTGACAATTCATGCAGAGACTTCAGATGCACACAGACCTCGGGGTCATGCCCCCTTGCTTTCTATCCTGTCTTTCTCAAACATCATTTCAAATTGGCCAGTCACATACCTTTCTCTCTGTTCTGTTTCTGTATTTACACACAAAGCCAGTTCCTAATAGTCTCTTAAAGGTTTCTGACTTCTTAATTAAAACTGATCTGTGCCATGTTGTTGTGTATATGAATGGCTGTTCTTCTGTGCATATAGAATACTATTACATCACACAGGTATACTTACCCTGGGCATTTGGAGTGTTTTTATCTTTTGGCTATTACCACTAAACCTGCCACAAGCGGTATGTGAGCAAGTCTTTAGATGAATGGACAAATATTTAAGAGCACCATGGTTGCAAGGGACTGGCAATGGTTTTCCAAAGGGGCCACTGTCCACCCACCAGCAGCCCCTCAAGCTCCAGCTGCTGTCCTTGCCAGCACCTACCATGCCTTTTCCATTTTGTAATTTTTTTTCCACATTTATTTATTTATGCACACATACACAAGGACACTTATGTCCACACGATTGTACCACAGGGCACATATAGAGGTCAAAGGACAGCTTGTCAAGTCTGAGTGGCTGATCTGGCCTGAGGCCTGCATGCAGAAAAGAGGGAAGGGACCTCTGGCAAGGGCAGCTGTTTGTCTCAAGAGCACGGGGTCAAAAGGGACCAGCCTTGCTTGGGAGACCCAAGAATTTGTCACAGTTCTCTTTCTTGATCTCTAATCCCATAAACCAATCCTGCACCGCAGAACATGAGTTGACAGCCCTCAGCAGAGTTCTAATTCCTGAATCCACTTCTGAATTGTTTAGATAGTTTCATAACACTAATGCAGGCTTACCTGTAAATTAAATGTACCCTCAGAAATGTCAACATCCAAAAGCAAGGGTTTTTTTGTTGTTGTTGTTTGTTTGTTTCTTGCTTCTTAGGTTATTTACTTTTTTGTGTATATAGAAAAATGCCATCGTGTGTTATTGTCACCCATGATTAAACTTAGGATGAATTATTCAAAGATTCACATAGGCTGGGGCCGAACATGTCCCCACACACATTCAGAGCTGCAATGAGCCAATCAGCTTTGGACAACCAAATATCAGCTTTCTGGTGGTGACTTTACCCTTAAACAGGATCATATTTTTAACTCTGACTTCAAAATGATATTACTGTTTAGGCTTGACAGGCACAATAATCTTTGGGGAGTCCAAGAAGTTCTCTAAACCACATGTACCATTTAAATGGGACACTTATTAATATGTCTCTTAGTAATACTTTACAGTCAGAGGCCAGTGGAATTGCTGGGTTTTTCTGGGAAATGTAGGCATCTTTAATTCTGTTTAATTATAGTTTCCAGCTGTGCACATTGCCAGCTGACAAGAGTTATTATACCTGTTGCAGAGTGTTATCTGCAAGTCCCTCAGACAGGGTTGGGAGGGTCATGCCAAGAGACTGTCAATTAACCTTCTCAATGAATGTAGGTATTTTCAAGGGAAGTTATTTCGTGGAGCCTTTCCTTCCTTCCAACATGCTGGTCTTAACATTATGAAGCGATATATGTGTGTGTGTGTGTGTGTGTGTGTGTGTGTGTGTGTGTGTGTGTGT